TTGACTGGGATCATTGATGTTGGGAATTGTCTAACTAGTTGCTTGCCTTGTTGTTATGTTTGTTTTTCTGCCATTGTTTTTCCTGAAGAAATTCTCTGGTAAGGAAATCTGGGATGGAATTCTCACTACCTCTCAAATATTCAATATCAAAATAAAAAATGCTTACAATAGCTTGCCAACGTGCAAAAATCTGTTTGATGCAATATTTTGAACATCTTTGTCTAAAACATGTTTTGCACTTTTACAATCAACTCTGACAAAAAAAATTTGGTTTAATAGATCATCTTGGAATTTTGAAATGCATAATACTATAGATAAAATTTCTTTTTTAATAGTACTATAATTACGTTGTGACTATGTCCAAATTCCAGAATGGAATCGAACAATTTGCTCTGTTTGGTGTGGTTTGACTTTTTGTTTTAGGATACCTCCATAACCATTTTATGAGGCATTAGTTTCGACTATTTTGAAGGAATTGACAGAAGGAATACCAAGACAGGGTAGTGTTTTGACATGAATTTTGATTTACTTAACAATTTCTATATGAACAGAAGTCCAAGGAGGAGGATTACTCTGGAGTCTATCAAATAAGGGTTTACATTGTTTTCGCAGATTTTGATAGAAATTAGATACATAATTAAGAGATCCTAGGACCTTTGAAGTTGACTTTTAGCAAGAATTTGATCTGGAAACTTATCAGCAAACTGGATGACCTGATCAATTGGGCTGATTTGTGACTGACAGATATTGAAACCAAGAAACCTAATATTGGTTTGGAATAGCTTGATCTTTTTTGGTGAGATAACTAAACCATTTCTCTTGACTATTTGAAGGAATTTATACAGATGTTTCCAATGTTGTTCTATTGACTAGGAGAAAGTAAGGACATCATCAATATAAACTATACAGAAATCACTGAAATGGTTGAATATTTCATTCATTATATTCTGGAATTCACTAGGCGCATTTTTTAGACCAAAAGGCATGACATTCCATTCATAGTGACCAAATGAGGTTACAAAAGCGGTTTTATATTTATCTGACTTTTGGATTTGAATTTGCCAAAATCCACTTTTCATATCAAATTTAGAGAAAATGATTGCTTTATCTAATCTATTAATTAGATCTCTCTTATTGGGGATCGGATATCTAATCCATTCTAATGCCGTATTAAGGGATTTATAGTTGATGACTAATCTTAGGGCCTCTCTTTCTAATTCAGCATTTTTCTGAACATAAAAGGCTGGACAGGACCAAGGTGACTTGCTTTTATGGATTATCCCTTTTTGAAGTAGTTATGTAATTTCCTTTTTGCAAAATTCCATGACTTCTTGACTCATTTGGATTGGTCTTGCTTTAGTAGGAATATGTTTCTCATTAAAGGTTTTGACGTAAGGAAGACTCACTACATGTTGTTTTCTATGCCAAAAGGCATTAGGTAGGTCGGAACAAACTCCTTGTTTTAACTTTTCTTCAAAAATTTTGACTTGTAGTTGCAAGTTTTTATTTGCAAGTTGTTGTTCAATTCTATTGAAGTTGATTTATTCTTTAAGGAAGTTGACTTGCTTGCTTTTAATTTGAATTAGTTTGACTGATTTAGAGACTGCATTTTTTTGAAGAGCTTTTAACACTTGTAATTCTGGCTTAGTTAAAAATTCAAATTTAACTTTTTCTCCCATATGGATTGAGGTGACTCCGGCGTATTCTACATTAAAAGGGTAGAGTAGGGCAATAAATGGTAATCCTAGAATGACTTCATCAGTTATGCCTTTGACTAAGACAAAGGATGTCTTAAAGCATATTTTATTTTGGCATAAATGGGCTTTAAGGATTTCATATTTGAGGTGCAGTGGTTTACCAGAGGTTGTTCCTAAGGATTCTTTTGATTTTATGTAATATTTAGTGGGAATTAGTCCTTCTTGAATACAATTAAGGTTGGCTCCTGAGTCAAATAAGGCTATTGTTTTTAGTTCAAAGTTGTTGATATAAATGCTGACTCTTGAATACCATTTTCGGAAACTTAATTGTTTGATTAAATTAATGGTTTTGTCAGTACTTGAATGTTCATCCTCATCTTCAAACTGGTCTTCAAACTGTTTTTTACCTTTGTTGTTAGGTTCCATTTTTTCTAGTAGATTGATTAAGTCTTGTTTAATGTCAATATTATCACTTTGTAATTGTCAGTTGGATTGTTTCAACTCAGTGATTTCCTTTTTGATGGTTTTTTACTTCAAGTTGTAAATCTTGTAAAGTA